ACAATTAGACATTGACATTTTCAGGCCGTCTCATGGCCATAGAATTGCTATTATATTATAAGGATCCTTTTAGTTAAAACAATAAATCTGTTTACCTTGAAGTGATTAAAGTTATTATTTTGGTTGCTACAAGCTAAAAATTGAACTAATGATTCCATATGTTTGAAGTAAGTCTAGACCCTAAGTCCTATTGTCCTATTCTGCTTTCAGATAAAATTTCTCAAAATTATTGCACCTGTGGGCGAGACAGTTTTACTGTCCTGTGTGCTAGGAAACAGGAAACCTGTTTATTTCCCTGTGTGCATCCTGGAGGACCTGACATGGGGTCCTGCAGGAAAAGCCTATTTGTTAGCGGAGAGTGATGGCAGGGAGTGGGCAGGGTGAGGGTGTGGGAGGGGAGAAGGTCCCCAGGGATTACAGTGATCGAAGATCTAAACTGTGGCTAATTATGGTGACGGTGCCTCTCCATCTCCTGCTGTTGCAGGGTCCATATGGAGTACACTGCGAGGAGGACTCAGCCGGGGTGGCCTCTGCCAGTACAATCAGGGGAAAAGGAGCATGTGGGTCCATGAGTATAGTGACGGGTCACAGTCTTGGCAACTACAGCAGAAAGGGTGTGGCCACGGAGAGCGTGGCTTCAGTAGGACGAGGAGCTCTGGACTGGGGAGGTCTCTCTAGGTGCATATGGAAACTACAAAGAACTGGAACAGGACGGGTGATGGAGCCTGAGGATAAGCCAGTAGCTAAAGTCTTCAAGGAAGATGAGCAAGTAAGTAACAGAAATGCTGTGATCTGGAGGAAATTTAGAAGGAGCCATGACAGAAAATAAAACTGTGTGTGGGGACCCATCTTAGGGAGGTGATCAGGGAAATCATCTGTGAAGAGGGAACCAAATCACTGACAGATGGAGAAACATGCTGGATAGGGGGAAAGGGCAGGTGTAAAGGCCCTGAGGCAGGAAAGAACTGATTCCTGGACCTACAGGAGGATTCTAGAAAGTTCTAGGAAATGATAACAAGTAAGAAAATAGTGGTAGGTGTTTGTTAGATGGAGGAAAAACAGAAGAGAACAGCACTTATTGTGCACCAGGAGTACCAGACGGATTCCTTTAACTTGTCAAACAAGCCCAGTGAGCACTGAGCCTCTTTGGGGGTGGCCAGGGAAGAAGGGTGCAGCAGCTTGTCCTTGGAAAGACCTCGAGCCACAGCCCTGACCACACATTCCCTGGGAACCTCCTCTGTGAGGCCGCCGGCCCCTGAACTTGGGCACGCTCACAAGGGCACCCTTATCAAAGACGTCAAAGCACTCACTGTGGCCAGACGTGATGGCGATGGGCACAGTGTCCTTGTTGCTGTGGGCCCGAGGGACTGTTGGCAGTAGTCCAAGGTCATTCTCCAAATCCACTCGGCTCCTGCACCGTCCTAAAGGGTGGGTTAAGTGAGACCCCCCGAGAAGACGGCCGCTCACGTCCCCCTCTTCCCAGTTTCTCATCCTCTCTTATCACACATGTGAGAAATGTCCAGCACTTCCAGGTTCGTCAAGCCGACGCCCCTATTCTGAGTTTTAAGGATTCCATTTTTGTTCCAATGTCCTCATTAACAGGGGCCACTTGTGGGGACTCTGAATTCAACGTCACTGCTGTTTGGCAACCCACTGGATTAAATTTTGTGGTTGACTTTCAGCCACGTCAGTCCTGTGGGGACAAGAAACAGTTCTGAGGCCACCAGACAAGTGTCTGCTTCTCAGATGGACTTGAACAGAGAGGCCCTGGAACTGGCCTTCGCCCTCACCCTCTAAGTGCTCGCGGGCACTCAGAAGGCCCTTTGCTTTTGCTGACAGTCATCTTGATTGTCACAACAACTAGCACGGGTGAAGCCTTGACTGACTTCGATGCCACCATGTGCCCACACTACCAATGTGGCCGAGGAGCCCGGTGCTGGGTCAAGCTCACGGACACAACCGGGTGAATTCCAAAACCCCAGGTCCTCCGTCTTCTGGGTCCACTCTTAGTGATGATTTCCTGTCAGTCTGGGTCCAATCATGAGGGATAACAGGCAGTGACTTTAACAGGGATTGTCTAACGCACAAAAGATACCGACTGCAGAGAGCAATTGGAATAATGGGACACTGGCTTGTAAAAAGTCAAGGGGATTTTAAAGAAAAAGAGAGCAGGTAAAAGAAAGAGCACTACCTCTAGGACTGAGATAAAACACCAAGAAGGGCCCCCAAGCCCCAGAGCTGAGATGCCGGGCTCACTGGAGAGGGTCAGCCATGAGTTCCTGAACCTCAGAGGAGTCACTGTGGCCTTGTGTTGGCAGACAGTTCTTGAAGCCTACTCTCCAGAACTTGCTAGAAACCTACTTTCTAGGGTTGCTGGGAAAGCCATTTACGGGGAGGCATCTCACTAGAGCCACTCGGTCCTCAAAGCAGCCCAAGTGGTGCCAGGGGAGCCGCTGGTGGCTGGCGGTGGAGGCCTGAGCCTGCAGGAGGCTGTCCAGGGAGGACACTGGAGAGGGGCAGCGGCCTCCTCCCCTCCTGCCAGGGCTCTCTGGTTCTCTGCACTCACAGAGCTCCAGATGGGCCAGCCGCCAGAGGACAGGCTTTTAAAGGACCTAGGTCCACTGTTCTCAGAGGTCACAGGGAGCTAAGGGACACTGAGCGGATAACCTGCAGTAGATGACGGCTCCCTTCTCCTACCTGCCCAAGAGGAAGCCCTTGGGATGACCTTCCCACCACTTTCTCGTCCCACGTCTGATGGGTCAGCAAATCCCACCAGCCCTACCTTCAGAATGACTCGGGACAAGCTTGCCCTCTCCACAGCTGTGGCCTGGCCAGGTCCGGCCTCCTTCGTCCCTGGCTGGGGTTATTGCATGTCAGGTGGTTCGTCTCCCGAGCCTTTGTGTGTTGGAGGCTGGCTCCTCAGCGCACCAGTGTTGAGGTGGTGGGACCCTTAAGGGGGGGGGGGGGGGGGGGGGGGGGCCTGGGGGGGGGGGGGGGGGCGAATGGGAGGTCCTTGGTACCTGGAAGGGATCCAGGTAGCTCTGGTGGCCCCCTAGGTGAGTTCTCAGAGAGGCACGTTATTAAAGAATAATCCCGGCCACTCTGCAACCCCGTTGGCTTCCCATCTGGCAAATGATCTCTCCCTCTTGCATGTGCTTCTGCCATCGTGACACCAACTGCCATGAAGTCCTCACCAGAGCCACACTGATGCCGGCACCCTGCCTTTGAATCTCCAGAACTGAGCTAAATACGCCTTTTTAAAAAATAAAGCTACCCAGCCTCAGGCATTTTATTTGGGTAATAAAATACAGACTGACGCATTGCCACAGCATCCTTATTCATACTTCTGTCTGGGACCCCCTGAAGTCCCTACTCGACACAGTCATCAGATCATGCTACTGTTCTTCGAGAAACATCTTCAGTAATTTGGAGTCAACAATGAAGTTTTTACAAAGACTAACTTGCTAACTGCAGGTTAGTGCTGAGTCCAATTTTAATCAACCAAACTAGTGTTGTAGGGACAAACGAGGCAAGGCACCGAAGACAGCAGGAAACAATTTTATTTGGCTGCAGCCAGGTTCAGAGGGCACAGCTTTTGCTGTAATCAATCAATCCCCTGAACCCCGAGTTCAGGGAGTTTCAGAGTTTTATACCCAGCATGTAAGGGAGGGGCTCAGAAGTTCACAGTCTGCAGAAGTTCACATAAAAGCAGCTTTTTTTCTCACTGTTCTGGGCAAGTTAACCCTCCAAGGACAGCACCTAAGAAGGGGGGAGCTTCTTCTCCCCTTCCTTTCCTCCCCCTGCCAGCTGTTACCATGGGCCCATTTGTAACTTATCTTAAAAATAGAGACATCTCTGTGAAGCCCAGCTCAAGGCCAGAGGCCTTGTTTGCACATTTCTACAAACTACTATACTGGATATTTTTGTGAAAAACTAGTAAGGGGGTGTCCAGCACCTGGAGTGCTGGTATCTTCTCGGCCAGTGGCCAAGTAAACAGGGCAACACGAAAATAGGAAGTTTATCTGCATTGGACTCTTTTGCAGAGACTCTTCTGCTGACAGTCTTAAAATCAGCCATGGTGAAGAGGGCTTTTCTGTGGAGAAAGGGGGTGCCACTTCACTAGGGAGCAGGGACAGCCAACTGCAGCTGCTCCCCAGTTTCTTGTTCTTCTCTGACCTCATCCTGCATGACCCCTGCAGCCCATCCCACTCCTCTCCAGCTGTCCTGGCTTCTATTGTTTTCCTGAAATATGCCCCAGGGTCTTTGCACTGGTTCTCTCAGTCTAGAGTTCTGTTCCCTTGAAGACCATTTGATTACCTTTCTTGTATCCTTCAGGGCTTCCTCAAACATCTTATCAGTAAGAGCTCCTCTGGCCACTCTTTCTTAAAATGTAAGCCCCTGCCCTTGATGTTCCTCGGTCCCCTTCCCAGTTCTTTGTTCCTCTCCTTAGCACTCTTCCCCACCTAGCCTGCTAGAATGCCACTTTCTGACCTTTTTTACAGTCTCTCACCACAAGAGCAGGCTGCAGTGTGTCTCGAGTATCACCGAAGCCTCAATGCAGGTTGTTTGTGACACAGAAACACTAACGGCACAGGTCTTTGCCTGGAATCGGGAGCCCAGTGTCTCCACTCAGCCCTCGGCTAGTTCCAAGGGTCACAAGGCTTTGCCATGTGGTGGCCTCAGATCAGACGTGGCCGTGGCCTCTGTGGTACTCTCCCTCTTTGCCTGTAAGGAAGAGATTCAGGGAACAGAAAGCAAAATGCTGCAGGAAACGGCTGAATTTCAGCAAGTCAAAGAGGACACCGGGTGCTCTCCCAAGTTCTGCCTTTTTCGGAAGGGACCTCTGTCCCAGTCCCGCCCTTTTGCCATGGGCCCCAGGATTCCTGCCCCTCCCACGGTGACGCCTGTTCTCTTGTCAGAATCTGTTTTAACCAGCCTGTTATGACCAGGACAATTTTAGAGGAGGGAAAGTTCATTTGGGGGCTCACAGTCGCAGAGGTCTCCGTCCATGGACAGCTGGCTCCGTTCCTCGGGCTCCAGGTGAGGCTGGACATCACGGGGGAAGAGTGGGGTGGAGGGAAGCAGAGAGAGACTCCACTCTCCAGATACAAAATGTAGACCCCAAAGCCACGCCCCAGTTCCCACCTCCTCCAGCCACACCCCCCCTCCTCCAGGCACCACTCATTAATCCCATCAGGGACGGATCCACGGATACGGTTAAGGCTGTGGCCCCCCGTCGTTTCTCCTCCAAGCCTTCTTGCACTGAGTCACTCAGGAGCTTTGGGGGGACACCTCACACCCAAACCACAACAAAATCTGTGTGATGGGTCACCTGCTGCCAAGACCCCTCCCCTAGTCCTGCTTCCCTCCGGTGGTAGAGTGTCCGACATTGGTGACAAGCCAGGGGCCATTGTGAGCAATATTTCTCACCCCAGGTCTTCTTAATTCCCATCAGAAAATGGTGAGTGGTAACTTTATGTTCACTCCTCTTAACTGTGTGTGTGTGTGTGTGTGTGTGAGTGTGTGTGTGTGAGTGTATGTGTGTGCACGTGCACACGGTGGGGGATACAGAGCCCCTAAGAGGAGCCCAGTGGACAACACGGCTCCTGTATCTGTGGACAGGAGGGCTCAGGAGCCATCCATGTCAGCGGGGGCGTTTCTGCCCCTGGAGGGCTGGCCCAGCGTCGCAGGAGCAGCTGCCTTTGTAAGACCAGGGCCCCCCTCGGGGAAGAAGCAGCTTCTGCCTCGCTTGCCCCCGGGTTCTTGGTTTCTTCTACTTCTCATCTTGTAATTAATGTCACTTTTAGGAACTTTTTAAAATCTAGATTTTTTTCTAGCACAGGTGATTCTAACAAACTGGCCATGACCGGAAACAGTGATTTGTTTCTTTCCTTTTTCACCTCAGGACTTGGAGCCTCTGCTTTGGACAGTCGTCCAGGCAGCCCTGCTCAGTTGTCACCCACAGGGAGGAGTGCATTTGCTCACCAGCTGCTCTCCCCGAGGGGCGACCTGGGGCTGGGAATGTGAGAGCAGAGGCGCTGAGCTGGTTGCTGCTGTCATTTTGGGGTATCCCAACCATCTTACTCCCACCATCTATTTGGGTCCTCTGTCACCTCCAGTCACAGACTGGAAAGCCCCTGACCTAAAGAACATCTGTTGGCACCCCTGGCACAAGAGCCACACCTGGTCCTTCCCCACAAGAGGAGGCCAGGCCTGCAGCCCACCATCAGCCCCAAAGACCTCCACTGTCCACAGAGTCTGGACACAGATGAGTCTGACCCGAATGCTTCTCTGTCCTCTGAGCCTTCTAAGTCCTCTGACATCAGGGACATTTCAGCAGCTCAAGTCCCCTGGATGAGCTTTGTTCCCCTCTTCTGGGCAGAATGTCCAGCACTGGGCCTGGAAAAAAGAGAACGTTCAGAAGAGTCTCTTTGGATTCTCATCAATCCACCCTCAAACTGTTGCAATGCGGAGGAAAGACGGATGTCAGAGAGCCAGAAGACACTGGCTGAATGCAGACTATGTCATTTATTATTTATGGATCTTCCTTTCCCCATCTTTCTCGGTTCCCTTGCTATAATGAGAACAGTGGCTTGATCATTTCTAGCAGGACTGACACCTACTTTCCCTGTCAGGTAAGGAGAAATGGCAAGTACATGATTTAATTTTCTCCCAAACCACACTGAGGTCCCTTCTATGTGGCCCCCTAGTCACTGGAGGTGACAGAGGACCCAGCCCTAGTCGGTGCTTTGTCCAAAGGAGAAGCAGGCGTGGCATTCGCCCGTCAGAACGTCCTCCGGGTGTGGCTGGGCGCTGTAAGCTGGTCTTTGAGGGCAGCTCCTGACCTCTCACAGCGGCCAGGAGGAGATCTGAGCTTTCTTTTTGCAGACTCAGGTAGGCCACGGGGTCGGCCTGTTCTGCTAAGGCTGTGCTGCTTCCGAGTTCCATGCGTGTTCCTTGCCATCTAGGTAGAACGGGGAAAATAGGAAACATTCCGGAGGAGAGACAGAAACTGCACCAGGAACAGGGAGGATGTGCGGGATAAGTGGTCACGCAGAATTACCAGGCGGCAGAGTCCAAGAGTGCGCCGATAGACAGAGCCAGCCAAGGGTCCCCAAGGGGATCTCAGCAGCGTGCCCTCCATCCTTCATCTCATGGTGGACAGCAGCTCTGGGCAGCCCCACCGGCTTAGGAGGGGGAGAGTAGAGGAGGCCACTAAATCAGGAGGTAACTGTGAACAAGAGCAGAGCGAAAAGAAAAGGACGTGTGTGACAGTTGGTGTCTCTGGGTGTCTGTGAGCCAGCCCCCCTGCCATGGTGATAAGCTCACTGCTGGCAGTGACTCCCCTCCAAGGGTTCCCAGGTTCCAAACAAATGTGCAGAGACACATGTTTCCTTCTTCTCTAGGAATGTGGAGTGCCCAGCAATTGTGCCCAGTGACCTGGTCAGCCGTGGATTGTTCTAGCTCAAAACAGACAGCACCATGCAGCAGAGGACTAGCCCTGGGGCCTGTGGGCACATGATGGCTTTTGGACCCTCTCGTGGAATTTCTCCAAGCTCCGGGGAGGAGTAGTTTTATATTCCCTGGGGGCTGGAGCAGATAGGTTCCTTTGAAGCATGGGTTCTTTTGAAAACTTGACAAAGTTTCACCTTTTGCTCGATGGTAAATCTGTTTGTTTTGACATGAAAACAATGTTTTTAATGAGTTACTATTGAATAAACTGAAACTCTGGTTATGTCAAGGTTGGGGTAGGTTCTGGCATACATTGTGGGCCACAGGCCAAGCGTGTTGATCTTCTGTCTGGGTACAAACTCTGTCTCTTTCTAGGGAGACTTTGGTTACTTCCACAGAGAGTTAATAGGATAAGAGGGATGTCTTCGTTCAGGCTAATGTTGTCTCCACACTCCAGATTCACAGGTTGATACCTAATCCCCAACTGGGGGAGGCCACCACACCATGTGACCAGCATTTTCCTTTCCTGATTGGTCGAGGCTCTGTTGGTCACTTCCCATGATCTGGCCACATCAAAGTGGCCCTAGATGGCTGCCCTGATCTTGGAAGTCCCATAATGTCACAAAATGTGTCTTCATGTGTAGGCGTGCCTTCCTGCATCCCCATGGGTGGAGCTACGCTCACCTGTCCCTTTGTGATATTACCCCCTTGCCCTGTTTGGGATGGAATGTTCCATGAAAAGGCCCTTTGTGTGTCCCCTTCTCTTGCTCTGCCCTTGGGTGTGGCCTTCCTAGATGTCAGTCAACATGCCGACAGCAGACATCAGGAAGCTAGACTCAGCCCCTTGAAACCTGACCCCTTGACTCATTTGAACGGCTTCTTCTCAATAAAAGGGGTCCTTCGCGCTCTCTCTTTCTGCGGACCCTTAAGGTCAGAGGAGCCATCACAGGAAATAGGAAAAAGGTATCTCTGTCTCTTGTGTGGTTATTTCACTCAGCCCAGTTCCCCTGGAGTGACCCTGAGAGTTTTGTCGCCGTGAATGCGACCCCCAGGGAGGTGGTGTTAAGAGAATGGACCTCGGAGGTCGTTAGGTCATGAAGGACTCAAGAATGGAATCAGTACCCCTAAAAAGAGGTGCCAGTTGGCTTCTTCACCTTTTCCAGCAACAGAGGACACGTGCTGGAGCACACACCGAATCAGCCTTGACCTTCCCAGTTTTTAGGGCCGTGAGCCACACACTTCTATTGTTTACAAATTACCCCATCTAGGTTATTTTGTTATAGCAGCTGGACCAGATGGAGACAGACTGCTTTAACAAGTCACCGTAGATGGGTGGCTTAACCAGCAAACACTCATGGCTACAGTTCTGGAGGACTGACCCCCAGGATCAAGGTGCCTGCAGACCTGAGGTCCTGCTTCCTGGTTGGCAGGGGGCTGTCTTCTCAGGTGTTGAGGACAGAGGCAGGGAGCCAGCTCTTGCATCTTCTCTTCCAAGGACACCAGTCCTATTTGCGAGGCTCCACCCTCATGACCTTGTCCCCACGCATGGCCCCTCCTCCTAACACCATTGCATGAGGGGATGGAACTTCAACATGTGCATTGGTGGTGGCGGAGGGTTACAGTCTACGACAGCGAGGAAGACCTTCCTGGGTGGCTAGACTTGAAGAATATTTCTGAGTGAGAGTCTTGATGGTGAAGTGCTGCCTTCCATTAAAAGCACAAGTCCTGAACACCCAGGGCCACAACATATTCCAGTCCCGAGCCCTGACCGCCAGCCAGTCGCCCACAGCCTTCCTCCGCCACCCTTGAACACTCTGTCCCCAGCTCTCCTGTCTCCCTCTTGGTCTCAGTTACCCACACCTTTCCCTCATCACCATAGCAACAGCTGCCGGAGCTGGGGTCCAACAGCAAAGGTTGCCTCTGTGCAGAGCCTGCAGGGACTCTGGGGGGAGGGGAAGAAGGATGGGACTGGGAAAGTCAACACAATGGGTCAGACGTCACTTTCCCGTGTCGTATCTGAGTACACGACCAGCGTGACTCCACGTCACGTTCAACCACAAGAGTGGGAAGTTACACTCCATGTATGTAGGATATGTGGAAATGCATTCCACCGTCACCAATAACTAAAAAGAACAAATAAAAAAAAGAATTAAAACAGTCCCAAGAATAAGGTCACAAAACTCTTTAGTCCGGGGAACATGAGGCCTGAGTCTGCAGTCCCCTGGGTTATCCTGACCTCCACGACAGGACTCTGCCGACTCCCTGACCCCATGAGGATAATGAGCAGCTCTGCTCCTAGCTGTCCCCTTTCTTTGCCTGGAACCGCCGACTGGCTGTGACTCCTTGTTCTTTCTATACAGCCAGAAGCTGCTGATGTCATTCTGGAGCACTTGGGTGGGCAATGGGGACACGGTTCTCCTGTGGCCATCCTCACTTTAGCTCCGTACCTTGCTCTGACCTCGGTGTGTCTCCACCTGACTTTCAGGTGAACGATGGTGAGTTGAGCTGTCTGACGTCAGGGGCCATCTGTACTTGGTGACCTATCTTGCCAAGTTACAAACTTCTCTGTGCCCCAGGACTCTTGTCGCTGTGAGATAATGTATTACTTCTGAGTTGATGTGAAGATGGGCTGGGAGGTCGAGCCGAGCCGACATCCAGCAAGGAGGGCCTGGGAAACAGCAAAGCCCCTCCGCCTGGGTAGCTGTTGGGGCCACTGCAACCTCTTTGCCTCCCACCCAAGCCTCCTCCAGCCTCTCTCAAAAATGCATACCGCCCACATACCACCATCTCAAATCTTCACAGTTAAATTTCCTTGAAAGTATGGAGTCTAAGACTCTCACCACAACAGCACAAAGGGTGTAAAGGTAACTGCCCCACCCACAAGGCTGGATCCCCCATTTTCCACGTGGCCAGGCAGCCACTGATCTGCTCTGGGTCCCCCTGGCTTCCAGGTTTTTTTCAAATATAATGGCACAGATGGTCTCCTTGCGTTTGGTTGGTTTCTTCCCCTCGGCACCTGGGTATCTTCTTTAGTGAAATGTCTGTTCGCATTTTTGCCCATATTTCGAATTGAGGAGTTTGTTTCCTATTGTCCGGGGCCGAGGGTTCCCCATAAGCTCCGCCGTCTCTTTCAGATCAGCAAACACTGGCCTGGTGACGGTGGCCCAGCTTGTCTTCCTGGGTTTTCATCCTTTCCTGGATCCTGGCTCGGTGAATCTCATTATCCTGCTGGGTTTCCACTGCTGTAAGGAAGACAGTTGAAGAGTATGGAATTCAGCTATTTTCACTGTCTTTGGTGGAGAGTGAGTTCAAATTACTTGTTCTAACGTTATCAGGAAAAGAAGTCGGGTGGTTATTTTTTTTTCCCTTAATTTGTTTGCTTTTGTTTTGGTTTGTTTTTGTTTTCCTTATTCAGTTATCTTTAGCCAAACAGTTAAGGCTGGTTTTTCCTGAAAGGTGAGGTTGTAGGGGAAACGAAACTTCTCTTTATGATTTTGCCTATATACCCCTGTGTATCACTCTTACAGTTCAAAAAAGTACAGCTGAAAAATACAAAGACACAGTATTTCACGGAGGAGCACGGTGTTGGGCACACGGCATTTCTGTGACCTTCTCCTTGGCTGGTTTCCTCTTAGGTTTGTTGCCCTGTCACCACCAGGATGACTCTGCCATTCCGTGTCTTGCTTCCTGGGGCTGCAAACCCTCCTCTGTCACAAGAGCCCCACACCCACTCTCCTTTCTCACTGTGCAGCCCCAGATTTAGGTGTGGCTCAGGTCTGGTCCTTACCAGGGTGGGAAGGAATCTGTCCATCCCTGGGAAGAGCAGAAGTGACAGGAAACTGAGACACGTGGGGGTGCCCCGGCTACTCACCGTGGACCGACCCCACAGCTATGGGGCAGCTAGGAGTCAGGTGGGTTCAGTCACATGCCAGATCTTGGCCCATTCTCCTGGAGTGGGATCTACCAAATGCCACATCTGTCATCTCCCTGTAAGCATGACCGTGGCAGAACCTGAGACACTGGAGAGTCCTTGCTCCTGAGAGTCTCAGAGAAACCAGCTCCTAAGCACCAACCCTTTCGCTGTCTGTGGAAGGTGTGTGGGAGATACCCCCAGCTTTCCCGTGGGCCGCCCTCCCTCCTGCGTCTCCCTGAGGCCTCCTTCGCGCATCCTCCAGGATCCCGATTTTCTGCTCCCCTTTCCATTCAGTTTCGAGTTTCGTCCTGTTTGACATTTGTTTTTACATTGAAAAAAACAACTTGAAGCTAAGTGTGGAAGCCAGAGAGAAAGCCTAAATCATGACAAGGGGACACAAGTGCTTCTGTGACATCCTCTGCCAAAGCAGGGACCCATTCTGGGTGCATTTCATAGGGGATGTGGCAACCTCCAGGGAATGCCCTTACCCAAGCACAGCAGGCACCTACTTTCATGTACCTAACATTTATTCAGCACCTGCTGTATGCCAGGAACGTTGTACAGCATTAGCACATTAGCTGAAATATTCCCTCCCGAGGGGAGCGCTGTGTGGTGGGTGGAGTGGAGGGAAAGCCCAGGGCATAATGATTTGCAGATTTGTGTGTGTGTGTGTGCGTGTGTGCATGTGTGTGTGTTGATCTAGGTTTTTATTCATTTATTTTTTATTAACAATTGAGTTTCTTCATTATTTTGACTTCTTTAAAAAATTGATCTATGATTATGTTTCTTATGCCAGTTAACCATTTATAGTCTTTCCCCTACAGATTCACACTTAAATACACGCTCTGAGGTCACGGAAGGGATCTCTCAACATTTCTCCTTTACACTGAGCGTGATGCCAAGCTTTCTCAACAGGGGGCGCTGGGGAGGCATTGAGGGGCATTGGAATAGGGCTGTGTCTGTGAGAGGACACCTGCTGGTGCCATCCCGAGCACACCAAGGCCCAGCGCAGCTACCTGGACATCACAACTTCCTCAACATTGACTCCATGAGCTTCAGACTTCCTGTCCTTGGCACTTGTGTCCCATGTCCCTCCATTTGCCGTCCCATTCTAAGTTTTGCCTCCCATGACCCTTCTGATGCCATGGCTCTCCCATATGGTCACCACACGTCCTCCTCCAGAGTCCTCCTCTCTCTGGATGTTTTCCTAGGAAACCCGGCAAACCTCTCTGACATCCAATGTGCGGCAGCAGCACCTTCTCCAGTGAAGCCCGACGTCTGGGGAGGAGACCCTCCCTCCCAAGTTTATCTTCCTCCGTCGCCCTGGTGCCCTGCAGAGTTCTCGTACATACTGTGGTCACTCTTGCATCAGAACTTAATCTCTTCATGTGAAACTTGCCCTGTTTAAGTCACACTGTGGCTTCTGTCTCCTGATTGGACCTCGATTGGTACAGAAATCAACATCCAATTAGCGCTGTCTGTTCCATGAAGTTCACGTGGGTTATTTCACAAAGACAAGTGTGATGTGGCAGAGTGGATCAGAGCGGATGAGACTGGGCTTTGGGACAAGGTGGATCTGTGTTTCAGTTCTGACTCCGGCACTCATTATCCCTGGGCCACCTATGTAGAGTGTGCTGTGGTATGGGGGATCCCCCTTCCAGACTAAGATTCCCATTCATTCCACTGCCCACAGGGTTGGCCGCTGTCAGCTTGTGACTTGTTCCTTTATGACAATTGTTCTGCACTGAAGGGAGTTGTCTTGCCCATTTTACAACCTCTTGGGAGGGATCCATACCAGCGATGGCTTGATGTGGGGGTTCCCAGGCCCAGTCCCTTTGACTTCATCTGGCATGTCTCCACTCAGGGTGCCCTGTGGGGTTCAAGGTGACTATGGCAACTGCATTGAAATTCTCCTTCTGTCCAAACCCACTTCTCTTACTTCTTCCTCGCAGTTGCTCCTGAGAGCATTCCTTAAGTAAACTTCTTGCATGCGAACCTCACAGCGTGTTTTCCAGGAACCTGAATTGTAACGGTAAGTCATTGAACCGCTCTGAGCTGCTTTCCTTTATGCAAAGTGCTTGGCAAAGTACCAGACAGATAGCACTCAACAGAGGTTGGTATTAAGAACATCAATAAATCAGAGGCATTATTATCCCCATTGTACACACAGGACCACCGAGGCTTAGAAAGTTTAAGTACCTTGCCAATGCCACATAGTACACAGTGCAGCTTGGATTTCTGTTTCTGCTACTGCTTTCTATTGCCTCTTGTTCTTTGATGCAGCTGGCAGAAGTTTTGAGAGAAGTTTTCGTTAGAGCTTGTGGAGGCCATTGGGAAGGCATGTAGTCGCTTGTCTAAGGCTGATTGAAAACGTATGGTGATGAGCTTTAAAGACCCACAGGAACAATGGCTCCATGTTAAACTTCTATGGGATGGAACCAAAGAACAATCCAGCAAATATTTAAAGAAGTTCTGAATCAGTTGTTGCTTGGATGTGCCAATCAGGGGCAGGAAGTGAGAAGCTGAAGCAACGCACTTCCAAGAAATTTCAATGCTTCTCAGAATTATTTCTACCTGCTTGCCAAATCCTTACAGCGGGAGGAAGAACCCATGAGCATTTTTACAATCCACAGGCAGTTTTTCCTTTTCTTTTTCCACTTCAGGACAATGGAATTTCCTTTGTGAAGGACTCTCCTGAGCCCCTGTGGTTGAAAGTAGAGGGACATAAAATAAAGAACAAAATGATAAGAAATGCTTGCTGAAGATTGGGACTCTAGCTCAGGGGTGGAGCACTTGCCCAGCATGCAGGAGATCCTGAGTTCCATCCCCAGCACCTTGGGTGGGCGTGGGGGGGACTCACAGGAAGTGACAGACGAGGTAACAATCAGAACACGTCAGTGAGCCATGAGGATGGGTCGAGCTATCAGCTCTCAGCAGCTGTGCCTCTGGTGTTATTGTCCCCAGGACACTACTATGGGCTGAAATCCAGCCATCTGTCTTCAGGCAGGGCCAGACCATGGAGGGAATCAATGCACCCCCAGCCTTTTCCCTGCCTGCTCTCAGACCCTGCTCAGAGCCACGCTGTCACCCAGGTGGCTCTGTCTGCCATCTTGCATCCCACCAGCAGGAAGAGGGTTCTCGCCTCTCTGCATCTGCCCCAGTGTGGGGCCTGGACAGTGTGCTGGACCTGGGCCATTCTCAGGGGTGCACTGTTATATTCCACAGCTCCTTGCTGTGGTGTGCATTTCCCTGAGGACACATGACATGGGTCTTCTTTTTATATGCCTGCCGGTCATCTGTACACCTTCTTTGGTGCGGTGTCTGTCAAGGTGTCTTTGTCCCTTTTTGAACACTGGGTTCCCTGTGTCCTTGTTGAGCTGTGAGAGTTCTTTGTGTACGCTGCATGACAACCCTTTATCAGATAAGCCAGTATTTTCTCCAGTCTGTGGCTTGGGTTCTCGCCCTCGTGGTCTTGCCTTTCACAGAGCAGCAGGTTTAGTTTTCATAAAATCCAGCTTGTCAATAACTCCAGGGGTGTGACATGCCCTTGGTGTTCTAAAAAGTCATCTCTGTATTTAAGGCACCTACATATTTTTCTAGTTCGTCTTCTAGAAGTTTCATAATTTCATGTTTTACATGTAGGGCTGTGATCCATTTTGAGTTAACTTTTTGATGATTTTAAGGTCTCTGTCTAGTTTTTTGTTGTTGTTGTTTGCATTTGGATGTCTGTTGTTCTAGGACCTTTTGTTGTAAATACTCTCTTTGCTTGATTGTGTTGCTTCGCTCCTTTGTCAGAGACCAGTTGGCTATGATGAGTGTTTACTTGTGGGCTCTCTATTTTTCACATATTCCCACCATGATATGCTCCCTCACCACAGGCCTCAAACAACAAAGGCAGCTGATCATGGACTGGGACTTCCCAAATTGTGAGCCAAATAAACCCCTTATCTCTATAAGCTGATTATCTCAGGTATTTTGTTACAATGACGGAAAGTGAACACAGCATTTTTCCTTCACTGTTGAAATCAGTGTTCAGAATTCTAAGTGTAGTGTGGGGAGGGGGCACTTTTTCTCTCAGTATTTCCAATGTCTTTAAATGTTTTATTCCACCATTTTTGCTTGCATGATTTCTAAGGAGAAGCTAGAAATAACTTCTATCTTTGTTCATTGATAGGTAACTTTTTTCTTTTGACTTTGGTGAGTTTTTCTTTACCTTTGATTTCCTAGAGTTTGAAAATGACATGTCTAGGTGTAGACTGGAGTGGCATTTATTCTGCTTGGTGCCCACTGAGTTTACTGAGTTTCCCGGCTAGGTGTCTGGCATTAATTGGGGACATTCTCAGTCACCCCTGTTTCTTTGGTTCTTTCCCTCCTCCTTCTCTGTCTTCTGTTCCCACTCTGCATGGTCACGAGTTCATGGTCATCTCAACATCACTGGGTATTCTACTCTTGTGTGAGTCCTCTCTGCTTTTCAGCCTTAGAAGGTTCTGTTGATGCCTCCTCAAGCTCAGAGACTCTTTCCTCAGCCCTGACCTGCCTAGGGTCAGCGCATTGAAGAGCACCCTCATTCTGTCGCCGTGTTTTTGATTGCAGCGTTTCTCTTGGGCTCTTAGCACCGCCACCTTTCTGCCTGGTTGGCATGTGTTCCTGGTCGCTGCCTCCTTGTTAGAACTCTGAGCATATTAGACTGATTCTTTAGATGCCTGATTCTGATCAATCCTGCCATGCCTGTTTCAGATGCTGGCTCTGCCTCCTAATTCCATGGTTTTTGCTCTCAGCATAACTTTCATTTTTTCTCAGTAGCTGGACATGACACACCAGGAAATAGAACCACAAATGGGCCTTCAGGGGCGTGGCAGCAGGAGAGGTCTGGGGGCCCCGTGATGATGGCCCCGTCTTTCAACCAGCTGGTGCTCCGGACTGTGGACTTCCCAGGGGCTTCCGGGGTCCTCCCTCCTCCTCGGTGGGTGGGACAGGTGGATGGCCAGAGCCAGCTGGAGTTGAGCCTCCTTCCCCAGGCAGACGAGGCTCTGGTTCCCTGGCCTCCCCTGGACCCTGAGGGTCAGGACGAGGAGTGGTTTTTCACAACTTCCCCCTCCACCTGCTGGAAGCGCAGGGGATCTTCAATATTCACTGTGAGAACTCGTCAAGCTCCCGGAGGTAAAATCATAAAAGTGTGGGATCCCCGAGGTGATCCCCCCAGTATTTAACACTCGAGAGTCATTGCACTGAGCCTCCGGGACTCCACAGCTACGGGTCAGGTTTCCCGACCCCCATAGCTTCTGCTCAGGGACTCAGCTGAGGTCAGTCGTGCGTCCCTGCACCGCCCGCCGGTCTTTCCAGCCTCCCTGTGTCCTCCCCATCTCACAGATCCCAGAGGCACTCTGGATCTCTCGGTCGGTTCAGCTTTTGACTGTATTTCCTAGGAGGGGGTGGAGACTTTCCGTCTCCTTATGTGTCCAGCTGGACGACCAAGGTCCTTCTCGGTGTTTAAAAATATAAAAACAACTGATATAAAATATAAAAACAAAATCCGTTTCCTCCTAAAGTAAGTTAACTCCTTGATTGAGCATTACTTGTTGAGTTATATTCATTGATGCATCAGTTTATACAGTTTACTGTGATAGCTATCATAGAAGCTGTAGTCTGGTTGTATCTTTGTCTTCACCGGCACTGGGATGAAGATAGGAATTCTGGCAATGATGCTAAAGAGACATTATCCTGAAAAGAATTATTAAATATAATGAAAAAGAAAGGTGAAAGTAAACAAACAGATCTGTTAACCTACTTTAAAAACAATCCTTAACAGCTGTTTACCTAATTTAAATTAAACCATTTAAATCACGTGAATAAAAAAAAAATAATAATAATTCGGATCCATTTTTTCATGAGCGCTCCTCATATAAGAAATATGGACATACGCACATACAGACATACAACACAAAACACAAGAGTGTACACAAACATACAACACATAAGAAAATAGTAAAGGCCTTGTAGCTTTACCTGGGTGAAATCTCCATTGAAATGTTTAAAAACTCCACAGTCAAAAAATAAAACTGATCAGAAAAACATTAACCTAGGTTTGTATGAGCTCAAAAAATAAAAATAGAACCTTATGATGTGGAAAAATGCAATAATAAAATAGCTATTGAAAAAAGCATCCTGGTTAATCACTGTCGCAGATGTAAGGATGGCCAAGCTGGAGTTCTGGATATCAGCTGTTATGGATTTGAGTCAAATCATCTTCTTTTCGATCTGTAGAAATTGTTTTAGTTAATCTCTCTGGAATCCAAATCGGCTGCTGTTCTCCCTGTGGAAAAACACAAACAGACCCCCGACTCCAGACAATCACTGGGTCAGGACCTTTCCATAGTCCTGTTAGAATATCTTTCCAAAGTACTTTAGGCTTATGTACATTTTTTGGATACATATGCCTTTCCGCAGCACTAAGTCCTGATGAATCCAAATTTAAAAAGTTTA